GCTAGGCAGACAGCAACAATGCATGAAATGGACCATCAGGAAGTAAGAACAGAGTAAAGAGTTAAACATGACAATAGCAACTTTCCCTCATGACTGGTGAGGGAATGTTGCACTGCATTCTCTTACCAGCATTAATAATTCCTTTTAAAGAGAACAGAAGTGTCTGAGCTCCAACTGATAGCTGCCAGGTGGGAAAGTAAAACCCAGCATTGTCAGAGCTTCTGTTTTTCCCCAAAAGAAGATAGAAATTTGGATTTTTACATAAAGCTTCAACATGTTAAAACACTGGCAATGATTAAGTGAAAATGTAATAATGAGCAGACCTAAAAAAAAATATGTCTGTGAATTGCAGCCGGCCCCAGATTCCCTGTATTTGCAAACTCAGAAGCTGCTCCATGCAAGTCTAGAGACAGAAGCAAAACCAAATGAAAGCACACATCTTGCTATTGGGAGTCCGTTCTCTACAGGCTTGCAGACATGTAGGGTATACAACAGGAAAGGAGAGGGCTGATGAGGGGGTAAATCACTGCAGTCAGTCAGTGCTGACAAACTGAAAAGCATTTGAGGAATTCAGTGTGGGCTTAATTTATGTATACAAGAACCTTAAGTCTATTGAAGCAGCAAAGCATCAAAGCTGAAAAGTTGAGAAATTCAAGAGTTTTAGCCCATTTTTCCAGGCTAGTCCCACAGAATAGCATGCCAGATTCTTGTTATTGCACAAATCTTCTGAGAGTCTGATCCCATAATTAGTCAGGGGATGGACTTCTTGTTCTTCAGACTATTCCCAGTTCTGGAAAGCTGATTCCAACTTGTGAAGAAAACAAACAAAAATATCTAAATAAAAAAAGGTAAGTTTTGAAAAGCCCACCAAATTTTTCTTTATTTAAAATGAAAGGGGATAAAAAGAATCTCCTGGGGATGTAGCTCAGTGGTAAAGCACATGCCTATCTAGGTTCAATTCCTAATCCTGGAAAAAAAAAATAGCAAATAAAACAAAAGGAATGCTGATGGTGTACACCTATGATTCTAGCATTCTGGGAGGCTGAGGAAAGAGGATCACAAATTCAAAGCCCTGCTTGGGCAATTCATCAACTTAGCAAAATCCCATCTCAAACTAAAACACTAATAAGGGCTGGTGATACAGCTCAATGTGAAAGCTCTGGGTCCAATCCCAAACCAGCCTCAACTCTAATCCATCCATACACACATACTCATATATACAGCTGCATCTGTAAATGTGCTCTCTAAAATTCTAGCACGTCCATTATCCCATGAACTTATTATTTCACTTAACTCCTGGTCACACTCTACACCCTTATTGGTAGAAAGTCTTTCTGTTACTCACTTTAATTCATCTAGAGTGTGCATATTTACATGTGTTCTATTTAATAACTTGAGTGTCTTGTAGAAAATGCACTTAAGATAAGAGCAGAGAGACAATCATTTCATGAAACATTGGCCTATGGATGTCTATGGCAGTATCTGCCATCAAGAGTTTTGTTGTGGTTGTTTAAATGTCTCCCCAAGGCCTCATGCAGTCAAGGAGGTGGCTGAGTCTAGAGTTTGTGACTGGTTCATTGTCTAGCACTGGGATTGGTGGTGTGAGCACTGCACCTGCCCAGAGGTGGAGCCGGCATACAGTGTCAGGGAGGGAAGGGGGCCTGCTTTTCCTTTCTGCCCTTTTGCTCTTGTCACTTGACCTTGCAGCCAGCTGAGTATGGACTGCAAGGTCCATGCAGTAAATGTAAACTAAATAAACCAAAATGTAAACTAAATAAACCTTTCCTTGCTTCATTTTGGGCATCAGGTATTTTGTCTTAGCAATGAGAGAAAAGTAATCAAGACAAGTTTAAAAATCTAAATTCAGCAATTCTAAAAGATTAATGGTAGATTAGCTGTTCCCAGTGCTGGCCAAGTATTCAAATCACTTGGAAATCTCTTTAAAATCCCTGTGTTAGGGGGCTGGGGATTTAGCTCAGCGGCATAAGCGCCTGCCTTGCAAGCAGGCAGGCAGTCCTGAGTTTGATTCCCGGTCCCATAAAAAGGAAAAAGACCAAAAAAAAAAAAAAAAAAAAAAAATCCCTATGTTAGGTGACCCACTCCATATCCATACCCATGTAAAGATAATCTTGGTAAGAGACTCAGGCATTTTATTGTTTAAAATGTTAAAATTAAAGGTGATACTCAGGCAGAGATGAAAGGCCCAGCAGGTTACAGTTCAATTACCCACTCACCTGTGACATGTAATTCTGATGATAAATTTAACTAATTACTCAGTGGTCCCCACCTAACAAGTTATGTAAGTAGACAATTATCTACCCATAACTACTCTGTTAAATTGGATTTAGAGTCAGGGACACTGATAAAGTACCAGGACCCAAAGATAAGGGATCCCAGAAGTCTCCCTGCTCATCAACCTACCTCCCCCACCCCTGGAGTTTATCGAATGCCAGCCGAAACCTAGAGCCTCCTATTTCAGAACATAATTAAAGCTGCCCAAATGCTCCCTCAGCTTCTTCAGCATCTCACCTCCTTCTAGCCTTAACTGATGTTTATTCAGCTGGTTCTCAACATTCCACAAATACCAGTTTTTTTGCTTTCACCAGATGGTGGCTACTTCTGGGGTGCAGAATACAAAATCCAGAAGCCCACCTTGGGGCTCACTCACCCTCAACCTTAAAAACTTGAAACCTGCTTTTCCCCTGTCTAAATTAATTAAGACCCCAGAAGAAATAATTTATAATGATGGTCCTGCCATATTTTTGGTTTCATTACAGCACTCTCCTGGAGTGCTAGGAGATCATGTCTAGGATGATGTCTAGGAGATCAGGCTCATTTTTAAATTTGTAATTAGGCCAAATACCACATTTCATATCTGCATTGTAAACCTTGCAATATTCTCCTCAGAAATTAGACTTCTCCCTGCACCACATACACCAGCATTATAAGAGGTTCAGTCAAAGGGCACTTGAGGATGTGCCATGGCTACACTGCAGGCAGGACATAGCTCACGATCAGCACACATGAGGTCCTGTCTGGGTTCCATCCCAAGTACCACCAAAGAAAAGAAAATGCTATCTTGAGGTTGATGTGTTACTATAGCATTTATTATGGAAATTGTCTCTTCAAAACAAACTCTACAGTGGAAGGTGGGTAAACACCAATAACACACAAAGCTATATACTTAATGGCTTATAGCAGGGCCTAAAGACCCAATTCACAATTTACCACCACGTGTTTGTCTGTTTTTCTCTGGTCTGTAAAATGGGATCTCCATCTTCTGAGGTTGATGTGAAGGTTAAATCACATATGAAAGGTAAAGCCTTGGCAGTGTACCTTTATGGAGTCAGAGTGGCATAATATTTGTTAGCTATTGCTCTTACATTATCATTGAGTACAGGACTTAAACTGCCCAACGAAATAAGCCGTTTAACTCTCTCGTTGATTTACAGAAAGTGAACTTATTGCAAATTGTTTTTCAAATTGAATTTTTACATTTCTGGCCTTTTTCCATTATACCTAAAATTCAGTGAATAAAAGGAGTTTGTCAAAGTATTTCATGACATTTTAGTTCTATTATGCGTACCATTATTAAAGTCTTGTTATGAATATAATATTATCTAAAATGAAATTAGGAGAGAGGAATACTAGGAGGGGAAAAAATCACTTGCTGCTTAAATTGAAATTTTAAAAGCCAAAAAACTAGGGGAGGCTTTTTAGAAGCTGCAGGTGACCTTTAAATGTCACATCCACTAATATATAAATGTAAACACAGAAAAATGTGATGCTGGTCATAATAGTAAACTGATCAATGCAATTACATTATAAGTTCTGTGATATAAATTATGTTCCCAGTCCAGAATATCAATTGCTTTTTAACCACCCTTTAAGATCAAATTACAAGACATTAAAAAAAATCCACTGGTTAATTCCATGTTATTTATGAGCTTATAGTTTACCTGCATGCTTGCACAGCATAGCACTATACTAAACTTCTAAATGCTCAAGATTTGAGAGAATTATTTTTAATAATGAGGTAAAATTAAATTTACGATCTCAGTAAGACAATCCTTTAATGAGACTTACTTCAATAATGGTATTATTAACTGGGATAATGTTACTATTAACTTCAGCCCACTTCCAGAAGTTAGTGAAATACGACTTCAAAGATGGTTGTTCCTTGCTGAAATCTGTTTTTAACTGAATTATGTGTGACAGACAACATACACCATACTAATGTAACGATGGCAAAAAAAAAAAAAAAATCCACTTTGGGGTAGGTTCTCATAAGGCTTTATAGGACACTTCAGCTCTTCCCTCCACTCAATTCTACTCCTACTCAGCTTTGGTGATTCTGTTCAATATATTCATAGGCCCTTCACTATACTGTACTCCAATTATTCAAATCAATATATATATATCCAGATCCACTTTTTCTGTACATAATTCTTAAAGGAAGCGTGGAAAGTACAAGAATTTCTTAAATTACTAAACTTCGAGCAAATTTACTTTCATCTCTGTATAACCTACATGACATTAGTGAACACTGAAATTACATTTTTTTGCCTTCCCTAGATTGGCCAATTGATTACTCGCTGAGTCCCACAGCCAGAGAACAGGCAGGAGGAGAAGTGCCAGCCCCCAAATCAGGAGGCGCGCGCGAGCCTCTCCACGGCCTCCTCCCTCGGTGCCCCGGCAGGCGCAGAGGCCCTGCCGTCCGCCGCGCTGCAGCCCAGGCACTGTCACCATCTTCGCGGGTTCGCGTCCAGGCCGCCGGGCCCCCGGCACGCGTGCAGGTAAGGCCCGCGGGCCCCGCGCCCGCGCCCCACGGGGCCGCGCCCGCCCGCCAGGTGCGCGCGCGCGAAGTTCCCGGACAAGTTGCGAGGCGCAGCGGCCCGCGGAGGCCTGAGACCCCCGCCCGCGAGCCCGCGCGCCCGCGCGCCGGGCAGGTGCGGCCGCCCGCAGCCCCGTCAGCCGCCCGCCCGACCGGTCCGGCCCACCTTCTCGCGGGCCTTCAGGTACCGCGCCAGCGCCCGCTGGGTCAGCTCCCGCACGCGCAGCCCGCCCTGCTGGCAGGGCACCACGATGCCGGTCCCGCCGAAGCACACGGTCACCTTCATCCCGCCGCGAGGCGCACGGCCCGGCCGGCCCGGCTGGAAGACCTCGGCGCGGCGCGGGGCGGACCGGGCCCGGCGGCAGGGGGCGCGGCGCGGGGCGGACCGGGCCCGGCGGCAGGGGGCGCGCGGCCCGGCGAAGAGGAAACTTGGCGGCGCCAACTCCGCCCGGCCGCTCTTAAAGGGGCCGCGGCCGGGGCGACGCCGGGCCGAGAGAGCAAAGGCCGTTCAGGACTGTTCCAGGCTCGCAGGGCCCAGCGTCGGCCCTGCTGCGCGCGTCTTCTGTAACAGGCCGAGCGCAGCCACCACGGTGCGGAAACCGGGTCGCCCGAGGCAGGCGTCAGGCGCCAGTCCGGAGTCTGCACAGCTATCCCGCAGGGGCCCAGGACCTGGAGCAAGACCTGGCTGCCGCGGCGCAGGTGCGTGGCGCCCCGGGGACCCCAGGCCAGGCTGGGCCTACGGGTGCAGAGAGGCCGGGAGGGCACCACTTTCAGACGGGACCCTGGGGAGCGGAGCCCAGGGAGCCTGAGGGCGACCTGCCAGTAGCACCGCCTCCCCCCCCGGGGGGGGGCAGGACACAGCTCCCACCCAGGAACGCGCCCACCGCCCCTCAGGACCACGCATTTGCACAGCATCTGAAACTCGACTCAACGAATATTAACACCTGTAGGCTCAGGACACTGGGTGCATATTCGTACCCTCTGAAGCAGCAGCACTACACAAAACGTGGAAGAAGAACATTTATGTGTCTCCTAGCATTTGTGTCTTTCTTGGTTTCCACTTACATGAACTTCTTGGTATGAACCAAAAATAGGTAAGTTATTATTTTTTCCACTTTATGCACAAAGTGCTTCAAGAAGTTGAAGGACCAAAAAGACCATGGTGTTGGTGTGCTAAAAAGAACTCAAGTCCTCCCAAGCAAATCTTTGATCTCTTAACACTTTTCTTAGCAAACCAGTTCATCCAGGAGAGTCAGGATCTGTGCCCAATCAAGACATGCCTACTTGGAATTTGAATTGCCTAGAAAGCATGACGTGCAGAAGGTCAAATGAATTCGTTTCGTTTTTCTTTAAATCACTTTCAGCTTATTTATGACTTTAATAAATGTGTATTGGTTGTCCGAAGCCAAGAGTGAAGGAGCAACTTGCTTAAAAATCCCATTCTTGGAAAGTGGAAGAACCTGTCTCTAAATGGGGAAGGCTGACTCCAGCGCTGGTCTGTGTGGTAACCCCTCTGCAGGCCTCCCTGGGAAGTACCAAGTGTATCTCACAAATGAGTAAATTGATGGCTCCAGGCCATCACCAATCTGCAAGTGGAGACAGGAGGTTCCTGCAGCCGCCCCTTTCCCTCTGTTCACCTATGGACAGGCACTGCCCTCATGATGGCCCATTCTTGGGCTTGAGCTTGGGCTGTGGATAACACCAGTGAGAGGAATGGGAGGTTTCTGGCTTCTAGGTGTCTGACCCTTTACATACTGGGAGCCTGAGTTACTGGGAGTTCCTCTTCCTCCTTTTTCTGTTTGCCTTCTGCCTGTTCTTGCTACTGCTGACCAGTGATCCTCTAAACCTAGCTACCTACTGGGAGGTGTACAGTTGGCAATTCTTTCCTGTGCACAAGAATCTGGATTTTTTTGAGGTCATTGAACGGTAACAAAAAGGTACAGGGCAAAGATTTGCATTGGATGAAACGACTGTGGATCTGCATGTTTCCTGCTGCCATCCTGCATGTTTCCTGGCCTCGCTTTTCTGCACAATTCTTCCAGACTTGTCTTCTGCTCAGGCCACAAGAATTCCTGCTCCTGCTCCCCCCACAAGCACCATCTCTGCCCAGCTGAAGCCCACACCCATTCCTAGATCTCCCATTGTTCTGGCTTTGAGAATCCCCAGGTGGAACTGGACAGATGCCCCAGCTCACCCAGTCTGTTGCCAAAAAGACCAGAATGGATCCTCATTGACAGAGCAGAGGTCATACAGTGGTGAGAGGAGGAGGCGATAAAGCTAGATGCTGATGTGAACAGTGCACACCACACAGCAAACTTTTATGACCCCAAATTTGCAATTATAAAATGAATTTGCTTGTATTTCCTGTTTATCAAATAGCCAGATTTAATTTGTTATTCACCCTCATCACAGCATGCATTACACAGATATAGAAACAATTTATCACATATTAAGAAGTAATACCAAAGAATACAGTTGCCACACACTCATTCATGCCCAGCAAAACCCTCATCAATATCTCATGTCCTATGGGACTTTCTGGGCAGGAGACAGTGAATAATTTGCCTGCACTGACTAATACTAGAGTACTCTAGCCCTAGGTTCCCTTTTCTTCTCATTCCTGTTGGATGGATAAAAATTGCCTGTGATGAGAAAGTTTTCTATTTGTTATCCAACAGCTTAGCAAACAGTAATGCTAACCAATATTATTAAACCTCCCTACCTTGTAGGATGTTGGGAGCCGCGGCCGACACCGGTCGCCTTACTTGGCGGACGTAGGGCCTGTGGGTGGGAGCGGAGCCTGAGCTAGATTGCCCCTCCCATCGAGTGAGTCAAGTTGGCGCCTGCTTCCTGCCCCCTGATTGCGCTGGCGACTTAAACAACCCGCTCTGTAAGATAGTCTGCCTAGCAACAACTGATGTTAGCCAGTCAGCCCGCATCGCGCGCTTTGAACTGATTGGCTACTGTCACCCTATAAAAGTGAATGCCTCTCCCGCCACGAGAGGAAGCACGAGAGAGATAGAAAAAGTCCACCGGCGAGAAAGGGCTGGTGACTGAGCGGAGGCCTCGCGGGGCCCACGCGGAGATAAATAAAGGCAAGGTTGCACACCGCCAGACTTTGTCGTGTGTCTTTCCTGCCGGCCGGGAGCGACCCCGACAGTAGGAAGTGTAGGTGAAGTATCAGGTACCATTAGGTGTGTAATGAATAAAGAATAGGAATGTTCAATCTAAGGCTTGCCCTCTTAAAATAATTCTAACTTTCAAGAAATTGTATATACCATGCACTATTTTTCATTAAAAATTAGTTGCATTGAAGATGTTATTTCTAAAACTCTTGGAACAATTGACATAATAGATTGAAATTGGTACAATGTAATACAGATAAAAATTAATGTAATCCTTTTTTCTTAAAGTAAGTACCAGAGTAATCTTTCTTGTTTTTCACTAGTATGTGTTTGCAGTACTAATCACTACATTTCTCATGGCAAGTTAGTACATGTACATAACACATACTGTTTTCATCTCTTTCTGTTCCTCTTTCTCCCCTCTCTCATTTTCTCTTAACCAGAAAAAGACCTATCTTCCTTCTTCCTATTACCTTTTACTTTGCTCTTTATATTTTGGTTTTGTCATATGAAAGAAACCATGTGTTATTTAAACTTGCATGTCTGATTTATTTCACTTATAATCTCAAGGCACAGGTCTTTTCACACTGATGACTCAAATTTATCCTTTGTGGGAGAGTGGTGCTCCGTGGTATATGCCTAACATGTTTTCTTTATCATTTTTTTCATAGACATGTAGCTGCTTCCATGATTTAGCTATTATGAATTATGCTGCTATAAACATAGGCATGCATGGATCACTGTTGTATGACGTCTTTGACATTTGGGGGAAGATACCTAGAAGTAGAAAAGGTGGGTCAGCTGGAATTTCTAGTTTTAAGAATCTCTATCCTGGTCATAATAGTTTACAATCCTAACAATGATGTAGATTTCCCTTAACCCAGCTGTCATGGTTTATGTCAGTGGTGCCTAAGCCTCATGTAATAATGGACTCCACCAAATCTAGCGTTTGTGATTGGTTTGTTGTGTAGCATTCGGATTGGTGGTGTGAGTGCTATGTCCGCTTAGGGGTGGAGCTACGATAGAATGTAACAGTGGGAAGGTGTCTCTCTCTTGAAGGTTCCTGCTTTGCTGTTTGCAGCAGGCTGTGAATGATTGCCCGCCGTGCCACCCTGCCGCTTGAAACCAGCTAAGTATGGACTGGAATCTCCAGAATTGTAAGAAATAAACCTTTCCTTCTTTCACGTTGGGTATTTTGTCTGAGCAATGAGAGTGAAAAGTAAGACACCATCCTTGCCAACATTTTTTATTATTTGATTTCTTGATGATAGCCATTCTTTTGGGCATAAAATGGAATCTCAGTGTTGCTTTAATATGCTCGGTGTGATCTTTAAAAGAAAGGAAAAATGGGTTTGGTTTTTAATTTCTTCCATATTTAAAAGCAAAGCTTTTTATTGGGATGTGGTAGCACACTCCTGTAATCCCAGTACTCTGGCGAATTCAGGAGGATTGCCAAGTTCAAGGCTAACCTGGGCAATTTAATGATGTAGTGAGATCCTGCTTCAAAATTTTTAAAAAGAATGGGAAGATATGGGGTGCAACTCAGATCCCTAGTATTGTACACCCCCCCCAAAAGTGCAAACCTTATTCTGAACTTGGCAAGAAACAATTTATCCTTAAGAAGTGGTTATCTATACTGGATTGTATTCATTTGTTGTCTGTGTCTTTTTTTTCTTTACATTCATAATTTAGTTTTTATTCTTTTGGCACTCAAAATTTATGCATCTTTTATAAAGAGTTGTGTGATATTTCAAGTATATATTATGTAATGGTCAAATCAGAGTAGACATATCTATCTCTTCAAACGTTTATCTTTGTAGTGAAACCTAAGTTTGGGCATCAGGTATTTTGTCTCAGCATTGAGAGAGAAGTAACTAAGACAGTATTTTCTTAGAAATTGCATTGAGTCTAAAGATCACTTTGACTACATGGACACTTTAGCAGTACTTATTCTTCTAATTTATAAACACGAGATGCCCTTTCATTTTTGTTGTGTGCTCTCAAAATTTTTCATCAAGTTATGTATTTTGCAGTGTAAACATCTTTTACTTATTTGGCTACATTTATTCCTAGTAATTTATTGTTGCTGTTATAAATGGGGTTGCTTTCTTATTTTCTTTTTCAGATAACCTATTACCTATTTGTATATAGAAATTCTACAGATTTTTGAAGTTGGTTTTGTGTCTTGCAACTTTGCTGAATTTATTTATTGTTGCTAATAGCCTTTCTTGTGGTGCTTTTAACTTTTTCCACACATGAATTTATGTC